TCAGAGAGAGAGAAGAGGGAAGGAAAGAGAGCGAAGGCGGAATGCAAAGAGAGAACGAAAAGGGTTAACGGAGACTTGAGAGAGAAAGGCAAAGAAAGAATAAAAAGCGATAGAAGATATTGGAGAGAGAGAGAGAGAGAGTGAGAGGGGGCTAAATAAAGGGCAAAATGGGATAGTACAAATCAAAGAAAGAAAGAAAGAAAGAAAGAAAGAAAGAAAGAAAGAAATAGAAAGGTAAAGAGAAAACAAAAAGAGACCAACTACGTTTGAGAGAAAAAGAGAGAGAAATAGAAAAATATAAAAGGCAAAGAAAATACCAAAGGGATCAGATACCTGGGAGAGAGAGAGAGAGAGAGAGAGAGAGAGAGAGAGAGAGAGAGAGAGAGAGAGAAGAAGAAAAAAAAGAAGACGAAAAAGAAGAAGAAGAAAATAAACAGAAAAGTTATCTAAGGCAACAAAAAAACAGCAAAGGATAAAAAAGATAAAATGAAGACGAAGAAGAAAATAGAGAAAGGAAAGAAAAACAGACTAAAACGAGATAATAGAAACTTATAGTGAGAGAGGTATAGAGTCAAAAGAATAAAAAATAGAGAAAATGATTTAAAGAATCATCAGTATACATGAAATGAGAAAGCGACAGGGAAAGAAAAGTCAAAGAAAAAAAAAAGTAAAGAAAAAGAGTGAACACAAGACGGAGAGAGACAGAGAGATCGAGCACAATCAGGATAGCGTAAAAAGCGAAACGAAATTAGTCAAAATGCAAAGAAGAGAGATGAGAAAATGAATGGTTTTGCTATAAAGAGAATCTGTTAAAAAGAAGAAAACATACGGTGAAAGAAAGGAAGAAAAAAAGAAATCAGGAAAGAAAAATAAGACTAAAAATATTGTAAAAGAAAAAGTGGTGAAGAGTTTTAACTTTTCTCCTTTTAATATTGACAAAATATTTAACCTTGAAGTTATATCAAAGTGCGCATGCGTAAGGAGAAACGTCTTCGGGCTGAGAGAAACACGCACCGATCAAAGTTGAGGTTGAGTGCAAATTTTCTCGTTTGGGCGAAATGTTATCATGAGTGGATTAGTCAAACTGAATCAGTTTCCATAAAACATAAAAAAGAAAAAAAAGAGAGAAACAAAATTTCATTTCCAGATTAAGCACATTTGCAGAAACGACGCTCCAAATTTTACAGAATCAAATTTTCATTCCAACGAAAACAAAATGGCCGTCATTAATTCTTGTACTGATATTAAACTTTAATAACTAGAGGTATAAATCATAGAAAATTAAATAAAAAAATACTGAAATTATTTTATTATTTCAGTTTTTTTAAATATTTTCGTACCAGTAAAAAAATGATTTTGCTGAAAAGGATGTGAAAATTCGCATAGCTAAATCCTGGGACGCCTTGAACTGGATGTAATATGGAAATCTGATCTACCAGACAACCTCAAAAGGAACTACATTCGCGCCACTGTAGAGTCGGTTTTAATGTATGGTGTCACTGCTTGAACATTAAAACCCTAGAGTCTAAGTTTGATGCAACCTACACTCGGATGCTGAGAACGATACTTAACATCCCTTGGCGACAACATCTGTTTAAAACACAGTACTATGGACCCATCAGTGATATTTCTACAATGTTACGTGAACACAGAATGCGCGTTGCTGGTAACTGCCGACGAGCAAAACGTGAAACTGCAAGTAATCTACTGTTCGGTACACCTATGGCGCAAGATGGGTTGGTTGGCCAGCATTCGCTTATATTGTTATGCCACAGAATGTCTTCGACCTTGATGCAGGACGGCGTGATAGTTGGCGTGATAGACTCATGAATGTCCGAGATAGCCGAATAAATAATAATAAATAAGATTTTCTTTTTAAAGTATCGTATTCTCTCATTAATATCTAGCCTCTGAAAATGCATAATATTTGCTATGCAGTTCGATAGAAAATTAATTCCCAGCGTTTTTTTCTTTAGTATTTGAATTCATACATACATACATACATACATATATATATATATATATATATATATATATATATATATATATATATATATATATATATACTGGCTGTAACAGCAAAATTGTCTAAATCGTGTAACAGCAAAACTGTCCAATTGTAACATTAAGCTTTGAACTTTTGTATCTTAGAAATGATTAAAGATATCGTACTGGAATTCACCGAGGTTTTATTCGATTTTAATTTGAATAATAGGAATTTTTTTTTAGCTCTAAGTTGAAATGATGATCCCTCTTCCTGTTATCACGTCTTTTTTAAACTTATTCATCGTTCTCTTAATAGCTCTTGAATAGACTTTGAAGATAGAAGCAAGAGTATGAATGTTGGTACCATTACTGAAGACTTGAACGATTTTTCCTTTCATCATTGCTCAGTTGGGAAGATATAGCAGGGCTGACACAAAACAATTTTAACCTGTTCTCTTTCTAGCTGATTAACTCAAAGGGTTTTTCAGTGATTCTTACGACAATTGGTCTCAAGATGGCTAAATAAATATCTTATCTGAAAACCTAGAAAAAAGAAACTCAATTAGTTTAGTGATTTTTTAGATATTAAACATTTAGTAGGTTGGACAATTATCACATGCTGTTACACGTTTTGGACAATTTTTACTGTTACACCATATATATATATATATATATATATATATATATATATATATATATATATATATATTTGGTTGGATAGATGTGAGTTTGTGACCCTGGGTTTCACGCTTTAGCGATCGTCAGACAAACTGATTAATGTTTTAAAAAATTTGGGTTTATGTAGATTGCGTGTATTGGTGTTATTGTGGAAGTGGTGGGGGAAATATCGTCGTTTTGTCATTCATCGTACTAACGCAAACATCGATATATGCAGACACATATACATACTTGGTCGTCCGTCGGGACTCATACATATATAAACATATGTGGGCAGTTTCGGCTATGACACATGTATGTATACGGGTGGTGTTATGTCTATACATACGCATTTGTATGCTCAAATGTTGAAATTTAAACATTGGAAGTGTGGCGGAAATGTTACGTTAGTGTCTCGTGACTGTATACATGTCATATTATGTATATATATGTATTTTTTTTTTATTTTTTTTTTTTTTGAAAAAAAATATTTCCTCGCATGTATGTATATACGTGTGGTGGGGTTTTTGTAAAATTATGATAGGTAAAAATTATTATTATTTATATTTATTTTTAAATTTTGAAAAAAATGGGGTTTATTTGTTATATTTAAAGCTGGTTATTTGTTTGTTTTGGTGACTGTATATGTAACAGGTAGAAATTTGTAATCCTTTATATATATATATATATATATATATATATATATATATATATATATATATATATATATATGATGTATTTTAGGACATTAAAACATATTGGAAATCGCTACAAAATGGCAATTATGTTTCGACACCATAAATATGTCTCCCTGGGCGATGTTAAACTACTGGCGAGTGAAAGATTAATTTAATTTGTAAATAATAACTTAACCGTTCGAAAAAAACAAAAACGGATCAGTAATACAGAACTAATTTGGCAAATTAATATGCAAGTAAAGAGCATCCATATAGGTGGTTAATAATACTAACGAATCACTGTAAGATGTTAACAATATCAACAACTAACCAAATATCAATACACAGCAATATTAAATCGAAATGAATCATACAAATAGAATGACAAGCCATATAATGTGCACAAGTTATCTCCTGATCATTACGATAAGAAAAAATATTATCAACTTCAAAGTTTAAACATATTGCAAGGTAAAAGGTGGGCTATACTCTGCCGACAATAAACAGTCAATTCCCTTCTTTCTTTGGTTTAATAAAAAGTTTTTATCAGAAAATCTGATAATTTCTAATTTTTCATGTAAGCGTAGAAAACAGGTTTCATTTAAAGATCTCCATATTCTAGTTTCTTTTTTTTATTTTTCCATTTTTATCTTAAGAGTATTCCAAAAACTTTTAAAAAGAGATGTACTATTTTTATAAGTACTATTGGTGAAGAATAAAAGATGTTGATACCACCTTGTCTTAAAAGAATTCTTAGTACAACCAATATAACATTTTTCAACAGTCGGATTCTCTATTGTAGAAATAGTATTTAAATAAACAAGAGAGATGGTCAAACATTAGTTTCATAATGCGCATTTTTTCGTATTCATTAGAATACTTGCAATTACATTGGTTAATATTATTAGCAATATTTATGTTGGGATATATATTATTAACCAAATTTTTTAATTAGTTCGAAATTGTATTAACATGCTTCTTTATAATCTTCTCAAGATTATCGGTACAGCTATATCTTAGTGTGTTTCTGTTAAATAAGAGGGTTACTTTTAGGGAAATATTTATCAATTAAATGGAGTAAGTTTTGGCTTAATTTAGTATTGACTAATTGGTTAAATGGGAGGGTGTCAAATGATTTTCCTATTACTACTCCTTTACTTTCGAGCAATATTATCATATTTTCTATTCTTGATCTCAGCGTATTTGTAACCACTATTTTTAAAGCACTATTATAAACACCGCTGCTTTGTCAGATGAGATTTTGCTAATCCTGCCTTCTATAGATAGAGGGTATATGTTTGATTACAGATGCAGGGTGGTTAAAATTGGGGTGGATATATATTAGTTTGGAATTATTTTTCATATAAGTTTGGAATGCATCATTAGCAAGATCTAATGAAACATCAAGAAAATCGACCCGTTTAGCATTACTATCTTAACCGTAATACTTAAGCATTTTAATTCCCTGTGAATCCTTTCCTTTTATTTGTCAACGTTGATTTTAATAGAATTTCTCACTAACATAATAGAATTTCTTACTAACATAAAATCATAATCTCTGTATAAACCTATACTATCAACATTAACATTCTCATAAGATTATGTAGGTTAAATAAACCCACCAGGTCAGAAGACTCTGCAGAATCTAATGACCCCATAGAGATATCAAAGTGATCATCAGAGTTATTAATCCACTGTTTATTGTTGTTAATGAAAACAGATCTTCTGTAGTTCATTATTATATTGCGAGCACGTTTTTCCTGTTTGTTGCAACATTTTTGTTATTGATGAGCGCAGATCGCTTTTCAACCAAACATTGATGGACATGTTACTGTTGTTGGGCGTATAAATGTGTATTTTTAGCGTTTCATTATATCTTAAGAAAACTAAATGAATTATAGCCGACAGATACACAACATTATTTTCTTCCATTATGTTCATATTTGTGGTCGGTTGTGGAGATTTATCTGTCTCTGTCAATCAAGTGCCTTTTGCTTTCCAGAATTGTCGAATATCAGGAATACTATTATATCGGAATACTTTTCTCAACTTGGTTGAAATATATGTTATGTATATGACACAATATTTCGGCGAAGTACCCTCTGGTAAACATGTATCCATTATTT